TTGACTGAGGTGAGCACACCGAAATCATTTATCATTATCAGGGGACAGCGGACATTTGAAACATTCATGAGTCGGTTAATGCCACGGACTTGATAAATTCTCCGAGTCCTGGAGCAAATAAATAGTTTAGGAGAAACACAATCGAAGTTGGGAATATCCCGTGCTCAAGATTTTAAAACTAGAGTAAAAGTGCCGAAAACGTTAAGTTGAACATGCACAGTCTACACTTCTGTTCAAATTATTGAGTTACGTATTTGTATGTTGGCTAAGTAATTATATTATTCAATAAAGTATAGAATGAACAAATTTATTACTCATACAATATGTTTATGCTTACCAATTCTCTTTACTAAATCTGAATTTTCTGGAACATTCGAAATGACTATTGTGCCTATTTGTGGTTGAAAACATTTCAGAAGTATAAAGCCCCTTCGCAATAATTCAACAGAAGCCACTATCAATACCCGACTCGAATTGGTAAAGCATGCATTATTTAGCTCACCTCCCTGCTACCAAAGTATGACTTATTAGGCCACACACGCATGGCTAACAGGTTGGCAAGGGTACAGACAGAAAAATTACTTACGATTTCCAAGAGAGAAGTAATAAATATCTATTTGAATAGTGGTTGTATTTTAACTAATAGAATAGATATTATGGCTTTCTAAAAAAATTAATAAGAATTGTTTTTGTTGTTTAACAAAGTTGTCCCAAGAAAATGTGATTAACAGTACAAATTAAAAATTCATGAGCACCGCTTTTCTTATTGTGCATCCATTGAAGGGGTGTGCATTGACCATAATCGAAAATCAATAAGTCGGCTGGCACATACGGGGAATTTGGTCGTTTGGTCGGCAACGGCAGGCCGTTAGCGTTAACGGGCATTGGCCCAAAGTTGATTATGAATATTTGATGGGGTCCGTCCAACTGCGCAGTTGACATGGCCGGCAGATGAGGGCCGCAAAGGTAACGAACGCACTGCAGCTATTGGCCATGGCTCGCAGCAGACAGCAATTTGTGCGGGTTAATGACACCTACTTCCACTCGAATAGTCCTCGTGCCTGGCACACCCTGTCGCCATCGATTTTGGCCAGGGATCCGGGATCTCGATGACGCCACGCTGGAATGCAGGAGCTCGGGCCGTAAAGCCGTGTAATACCCAATAAAAACAATTAAGTTAATACACGAATGCCCCGCAAAGTGGCTTTCTCCTCTCCTCTGGCCAACTGGCCATCCGGCCCTCCAGCGAGCTGCCAAGTGCAACAATTGAGCGAAAGTGAGAACGAGCACCCACACACAGAGACCCTAAATGTTAGCCAAGGCCAAGTCAAGTTGGTCAAGAGGCGAGGAGAATAAGCAGCAGCAGCTGAGCCAGCTTGCATGCCAGTGGCCAATAAGTCGCCGTGGCACGCAAAGAACCCCCGAAAAAGCGGGGGAAAGGCTGGGGAAAGCGGCGAACGCAATTAGAGTAACTTGCTTAAATTTACAGAAAATGGAAAGTGTGCTGTGGAGACGGAGACGTGAGTGTTAGTTCGGCACTAACTTTGTTCGAGCGTCCCTCGCACATTTAAGTTTGCCAAATAAAATTAGAGCACTGCGCTGAAAGAAAAAGGGGGAAAGAAACAGCAAAGATAACAAATTAAATTGCAGGAAAGTTAATATTTAGTGTGACCGTGATAAAAGTCCAGTGTGAACTTGCAGCTGGAATAGTGGTCAAAATTAGGGCGTTCCCTTCAAATCATCACTTTTGGCAGCTTAGAAGCAATATTTTCTCGCTATGCTGACTGGGTCAGCTGCTGGCGGATGTGGACGTGGCCGGAAGTCGATGGCGTCGAATTGGGGAAGAGCCGCCAGCCAAAAGCAGCCCGGCACACCGACACACAGACACACCGACACAGATATAAAGCGGACCCCGAGTGCTGAGGTTACCGCTGACGCACTCTCGAGAGACGCCCTTCGCGGCCCTGCAGAGCATTTAAAAATAAATGCACTTGACTTGCAAAATGCTTGCACCAAACAAAACAAAATGGCGCCCATAAATTTAGACAATGGCAATGGCGACGCTGGAGAGTCGGCAATAAATGTTTGCCACTCGCAAGCGGAACAACAATTGGCATAACAAGAGCTACGGGCCTGGCAACATTGACACGCTTTTCCTTGCCTTGTTGTTGCCGCGGGCTTTGGTTTTAGTTTTGTTTTAGTTTCGGTTTCGGTTTCAGTTTCTGTTTCAGTTTAGTCCTGGCTATTTTTCACCCCTTGCCGGCGAGAACAGGAAACATTCCGCCATGCAATATGCAAATGGAAAGCTCGGAGTTGGCTGCTTTTAGCACTTAAGTGGATTTTTGGCATTTGATGCAATGTGTCTTGTCTCAGCGCGATTTTGGCTGAAAAACGAATTCTTTCAAGTCTGAAGTCTTGCAAATTCGTTCTAGATAAAGTGCTTTGAAGTCTGTCAAAGCAAGCGAGGAAGATTTATTGCGACTCTTTTCGAATATGCAAACCAAATTGCCTTTAAATCAGAGCTGACATAATTTGTTTTGTGTTTTTAATCTTCTCCAAACCGAAACACAGTTTGCATTTTATTTATCACTAGTATATTTTATGGCATTAACAAATTAAATACCTCATCTTCTGCGTAATTGATAACCTCTCCTGCGTCAGATTTTAAATTCTCAATCAATGCCTCCCCCAGATTCCCCTATCTTTATAAGCAAGTTCCTAATTATTTTCGCTAATGTTTGCCCAGCGTTTTTCAATTAGCGTCAACAAAGCAAAGAAATCATTAATCACACATGAGGCTGCTCAGACTTTCAGCTCAGTCATCAAATTTAGCCAGCAACTTTGTAATGTCCCCAGGGCAGTAACGCTGTTGTTTTAGCCCAGTTTAGTAACCCGAGAAGCCCGCTTTAGAGGGAGAAAGTCTGGGAAAAGCCAAGGCTGCTCGGCGTTGGACAATGTCAAACCATTTGAGGGCAATTAAGAGGCCATTTTGTAATGTTCTGCATACGTGTTTAGCAAATTATGTTTGCAGATTTATGGGCTCCACAAAATGAATGTGGGCGTGTGTGTGTGGGTGTTGCCACAAATTTCAGCAGACATTATCTGGCCGGGTTTTTATGACAAGGCCAGAAGCAGTCAAAAGAAATGGCGTTCGTCCCCTCTCACGCTTTTGGCCAAGATTCGCAGGGAACAGCGAAAAGGTCTCACCTCATTAAAATGGGAAATTAATTGCATTCTGCCACGGCCTCAAGGCAATTCAACAGGTTCCAAGGTGAAGTTTGCCACTTCTCACACACACACACACACTTCAGCTCGAGCCCATAAACACAGATACTCACTCACACAATCAAAAAATTAATTGTCGAGCTGCGGGGCTAACATGTTGCATGCATCCTTAGTGAAAATAAAATAAAACATAAGAGCCAGCTGCAACAAGGGCTGCGAGTTTGCATGCAGCTTAGTTTCATTTTGCGCCAGAAATAATTGCAATAAAAAAGAGAAAAAATTTTGCTTCTCGTCTGCACGCGATTAAAATAAATGGAAATTCAAGCAGCGCAAGTGAAAGCTTTCAATTTAATCAAAAGTAACTGCAATAAACGCTTTTTATACCTGGTAAAAAAAAAGTAATATACAAAAAATTGTATACGACTAAGAATAATTATTGTAATTATTTTTAAATTGAATATATTTAGCCATCTTACAACTAATGTTTAAAATGCAAGCCTCATTTTACCCCTTTTCGACACTTTCATCATACCCTGCCAAGCTGCATTCCCCTCGAACTCAAAACGAAACTCGCCAAAAATGTTGTCAGGAATGTGACGGCTCGAGCTTTGCCATTGCCGTTCGGCAATTATATAACTCAGCAGTAGTGCCCACTTGGAACCGGGGCTAATAAACAACAATTTAGTCGGACTAAAATGCAACAAAACTATATGATTTGCGTCGGAGCCATAACTCGCGAACTCTGACCCCTGGCACGCGAGGTGAAAGGGCAGCGAGAATGACAGGTGGCGCACAAATCAGCCATCTGCATGCGAATGGCTGTTCACATGGGCCGAAATGTGAATATGCGAATACGAATGCGGAATGAATTCGAAATGAATACGAAATGAAGCCGTTCGGTCGGTCGAAAGTCTGAGGTCAGTTAGCATTTTCCAGGGCGCTACGCATGGCAATCCATTTGAAAAATTCGCGGACCGTTAGGCATATTACTTGCCATTTCCGGCGGGGCGTAAAAATTCAAATTTGATTGCAATGCGGCAGAAACTGAATCACAGGCTGAAATCTGGGCAAAGGCCAAGTAAGCAAAGAACCCGAAAATAGGCATTTAAATGCAAAGGCCAGCCTTCGGCGATTGCAAATTAACGCTAATAAAGCAGAGGAGCGGCCGACCCAGCAATTGCATTCATTTGCATTTCGCATATTGTGCGATAATTGCCACAAAGTTCCCAGCCCGAAAAAGTATGCTACAAATAAAGCGGAGCTAGTTTGCAATTGGAAGTGAAATGGTGGCGAGCGAGGGGAAAACCGCCCAGCGATTGGTTTCCTATCTTATCAGTTGTCCGCAACTATTGATTCATTATCCACGGGCACAGTGGGCGTGGCCGCCTTAAATAGTGCGAATCAATAAACAGGTTCTGGGCGGGTGATTCATGGGTTAAACAAATGCGATAACCTCGAACCCGGAATCGAAATGGGTTGGGCTCTCACTTCAGCACCTGTGGTCAAGGGTATTTATATTTGGAATCCAATATTCGATTAAGTAAATTTAGGCGCGATTCCAATTTTGTTTCTTAATTACAGCTTAAATATTAATATAGGAACCTATATAATTTTATTGCCTTACTGATACAACTTATTTGCTTCACTGTTCTGCCAATTAAGGTGCTCGTTATTTACGTGGCTTATCAGACGTCGAAATGCGGCTAGATATAATTGCTATCCAATGGGTGACTTTTACTGATTGCTGTCCGTTTATCTCTGGCCATAAATTGCAGCTATTGCCCCACAAAATGCTGCCAAACTACGCCTGAGCCTCGACTCTGACCTCGACCCCAACCCAATCTCAATCCCAACCTGAACCTGCGCCCGGAACCACGACCAGAGGGCCAGAACCAGAACACAACTGTGATCATAGACATAACAACGAGGGAAGGAAGCCAGTCAGCCAGGCAGCCAGTCAACCAGGACGAAGGGACAAAGAGACGAAGGGACACCAGAGCCACAGCCAAAGATGAGGGAGTCCGGGGACACAGCCAGCAGCCTGCCAGACCGCAACTAGCCGATTTATAGATTCGCAGATAACGCCGGGCCCGGAAGTGGAGAGTGGCAAGTCGGAAGTCGGAGGTCGGAATCAATTGCCCGGCGATAGCAATCGGCAGAGGCAGAGGAAGGTCCATCAGAGCAGCGCACTCGCCATCGGAGGCTGTAATGACGACGATTGACGCGATGTAGCGGTGAGTCCAAAAGTTACTACACCCATAAAAATGTTCTTAAAATTCTGGAGAAGCCACTTTTAATAATCCAGAATCTGGAATTTAAATATTAATAGAAAAATAGTTTCATAAATTGAACGATAAAGATGCTCGTATTGAGTGACTTTTCTTTTGAAAATATTCCGAGGTGTTAAGAGTTGCTCGATAACTTTTCTCCAAGTGCCTTTCCATTTTGGCGGGTAGTAAATCTCAATCATCCATTCTTGCAGCAGACTTATGGTCGGCGAACGCGACAGGGACCGTGAGGCGGTACGCTGGGCAACGGGTGAATCAACACCGCTTCAAACCAATAATGGAGTATTACAAATGGTCGGGCAATTGCAAGGTGGACAGGCTGCTGGCCAGCAACAGCAACAACAGCAACAGCAACAAGCGACTCAGCAACAGCAACAGCAACACGCAAAGCAGCAGCAACAGCAGCAGCAACTCAAGCAGCAGCAGCATCAACAGGAGCTCCTGTATCAGCAACATAACGAGGCAATTGCAATTGCACGCGGACTGCAGGCTGCAACACCTGCCGACGTCGGCGATAATCAGCCGTACTACGATACAAGCGGTAATGTCGATTGGGAGCGGGCGATGGGAGCCGGTGGAGCTGGTGCATATGGTGGCGTCGGCATCGGATCCCTTCCAGCAGGCGGCGGTGCTGCTTATCACCTTGGGCCAGCTAATGCCGCAGGCCTCGTTCCTCGTCACCTTGATTACGCTGATGGCGGCCACCTTGCTGGCCCATCCGCCGGTCTTTCTGCTGGAGCACTGGCAGCAGGAGCAGGAACAGCAGCAGTCGGAGGAGCAGCAGGAGCACCAGGAGGAGCAGGACAAGGAGGAACAGCAGCAGGCAGCAAGGAGGTTCGCTACGCCCCATTCCCAGTCGCATCGCCAACGCACTCGATTCCCACAACCTCCAACCAGCAGCTCGGTGGCAGCGTCGTCGGTGGCGGGGGCGTCGGTGGTGCCAGCAGCCAGTCGATATCGGGGGGCGTGCCCACGGCGCACAGCCAGAGCAACACCACCGGCGCCCTGCAGCGGACACATTCCAGATCCATGTCCTCCATACCGCCGCCCGAGCCGTTCATGATAGCCCAGTCGAAGGCGGTGAACAGCCGCGTCTCGATCAACGTGGGCGGGGTGCGGCACGAGGTGCTCTGGCGGACGCTGGAGCGGCTGCCCCACACGCGGCTCGGGCGGCTGAGGGAGTGCACCACCCACGAGGCCATCGTGGAGCTGTGCGACGACTACTCGCTGGCGGACAACGAGTACTTCTTCGACCGCCACCCGAAGAGCTTCAGCTCGATCCTCAACTTCTACCGCACCGGCAAGCTGCACATCGTCGACGAGATGTGCGTGCTCGCGTTTAGCGATGACCTGGAGTACTGGGGCGTCGACGAGCTCTACCTGGAGTCCTGCTGCCAGCACAAGTACCACCAGCGCAAGGAGAACGTCCACGAGGAGATGCGCAAGGAGGCCGAGTCCCTGCGGCAGCGCGACGAGGAGGAGTTTGGCGAAGGTAAATGCGCCGAGTACCAGAAGTATCTGTGGGAGCTGCTCGAGAAGCCCAACACGAGCTTCGCCGCCCGGGTAAGTCCAGTCGGTTGGCCCGACCCTAAGGTAGTCTATAATGTCCTCAAAACCCCCTACCCCCAAAGAAATCCAGCACAGAGAAAGGGGATCTTGTAATTATAATGATTATTCGGATAACTTAATTTTCAGTTTAATATCTATAATATTATCTGGAGTATTACAAAATATCTTATATATGATTTATTAATAACATGACGGATTCCTTTTCTCTGTGCCCTCCCAATAATCCCCCCGATACCCAAATATTTTCATAGATGTTTTCGTATTGTGTTCCTAACCGTTAAACTGTGAACCGTGTCAATGTGAAGCGTAAGAAACCCTTTCAGTTCGATGCTCCCCGATATTCCCTTCCCCTACTTATATTAATCTTGTATTCAGTTCGATTACCTCCTGAGTTACTCTTTTGTAGTTGACCTTTGGTTCTGTGCAAAGTCACTATTATTTTTACACTATCGTCAGCTCTTGCACTCTGTATATAACTCACCCGGCGTCGGGCAGATCAGAGTACTATATAGTGTAAGAATAACAGCAACACATCTACTCTCTCTCTCTCTCTCTATCTGATTAAATAAATCCACCCTCAATGCTGTACAAATCTTGCCAATCCATCACTTGCTTTTGCGACTCAACCCGAAATGCTTGCACTCTGAAAAGATATTTAACCGATACTTTAACCGTTTAACCATATAACCGTTACTCGTTACTGGTTACTCGCTACTCGTTTCGAATGTCCGCCAGTTATCTGTACCATATGATGTGATACCGCCTAACAATATTCCGCTGCTTGGCGCGCAGATCCCCCGGGATCGAAGTTTGTACATACGGCTGATCTCATGTGAATATTCCATAGCGAAGTGCTTCCAGCTTTGTGTCATGTGTCGTACAGATCGGACGGGACAGTCCTCCTCCATCGAACGGAACGCGGAATTGCCCAGAGAGTTGAAGCGAATAGATGAAGATGAAGAGTTTTCGGCACCATTTGATTGAGTTTCCTCTATTGAGTTTCACCCTATGATTTCCGCTTCCGCCTAACCCATCCCCCCACCCTCCCCTAGGCTAAGATGCATTATATGTTTAGTTCGAGTTCTAGTTTTAGTTCGAGTCCAAGCAAACGAATCACGCGACGACACCCAGAGAGTTCCAATTAGCCAAAGATCAAGCCAGAACTGATCGAGCAACCGAAACTGCCAAAATTGTTTACTAACCGTTTCTCTAATCCAGTCTTTTTTACATCACACACAGTATAATTGCGAAATTGACAAGCCCTGTATACATACAACTATATATATTATATATCTACTCCGAATATTATTAATACGTATATCTCTTAATTGTTGATGATGATGGTGAAGTAATCTCTCTCTGTTTATCTCTAATGATCTCCCAAACCCCAAACACCCCACTGTAACCATGTTTGGGAATGGGCAATAAGCGATATGACCAGGCGGCAGGTGTGCTGTAGAAATCCTCGAAAATATTGTAACGAAAAAGGACTCTGGGGAGAAGTGGCCAAAGCGGTGTTGTAATACATTTCCATTTTCCAAATGCTAGGGGGGAAGTTCCGACTAGGATCCGGATTAGATCAGATCAGATCAGAGTATTCGGAGGACGCACGGTCCTTCATTCTGACTGGTCCCAAAATAGCTATAACGACCCGGGAACACCATCACTCACACTTATAAATACCACCATCGAATCACTCACGAAACGACCTCAGTTTGGCTTCAGCTTGTATTATACAGCCGATGATTTGCCCCGATTTATTGCGTTAGCTTTGGCTTTAACCAAGAATATTGGTGGGAGAATGGAAATAATTACAACATTTTTGGGTGCATCTCCTACAATTTTTCATTCGATTTTCGGTTCTGATTTTATTTGAATTATGTACTTTTTATTTTGAAACTTTAGGTTTTGAACTTTTTATTTGTTTTTATTTTATTAAATGTGTGGAGTGTATTCCAAGAAATGTCTGAAACCTTATTTAGATTTTTGCTAGAATGCCAGCACTCCACATAATTATAGTTTAAACTCTTTATCCAACTTTTCTGTTCCATTTAAAAGGAAATGAAAGATTTCCAGAGTCCTTTGCCAGTTGTACTTTTATCGTATTTTCATTTATGATTTTTCTTCGACAACTAACTCGATTTTCAGTCAGAGAGAAAGAAGAAACTAACCAAGATTTTAAGTTCTGTACTTTTTTATTTTGTTTTAATACCACGCCTAAACACATCCTTTTTTCAACGAAATGATAAATATGAGAACCAACAAATCTAGCTCTTATATAATAACCAAGCAGTTAGAGAACTCAGTTGATATCTTCGCCTCGTTGAAAGCGACAAACAACTCAGCAAGAAACCAAAGCGCGCTCACAAGACAAACATAAACAGAAAATACGCAAAACTCCAAAATAATTCAAAAACTTTTATTTTATTTGTTATACACACACCACAGAAACAACAATAGCGAAAATGGAAATACTTGATATCCAAATTGTTGTTCAGTTGTTTGCCTTTTGTGTTGATCTCTTTCTTTCCATTGGCGATGATATAGTATATGTACATATCTGAATGTCGTACATAAACCCTTGTATTCTTTCCTATATATTTGATGTCATGTCGTAATCTCGTGTGTATTGCATATGGAAGAAATTTATTTAACTCTCGTTGTATTGTGTTTTAACCAACTTCCTTTGTAAACTATTGGTCAATTGATTACCTTCAACTTTCGACACTCAAACAGAGACACAAACACCCACTCACACACAACAGATACACTTGGAGAAACGTCGACGGTGCCTTCGAAGTCTTAGCCCCTTAAATCAGCATTCAATCAGAGAACTGTCTTCCATCCAAGCCCCAAAAGAGCAAACGTAAAATCCATCGTCTCTGTTTGGTTTTCAGTTTTAGTTAGTCTTTTGATTTCGGTATAAGAGACCCGTACCCAAACTATATATCGATCGACCAAAATCTCCCACTTGAAATATTAACCCACCAAATTTGCTGCATTTGAATGCCACTAGTATAGAATTTCGTAGTCGATTCGTACTGAATTCTATAGCCGTTTGTATCGAATTTTGTTTGTTTTTTAGTGAGTCGAACAAAGTATGCGAACCAACTCATGCACCCACCGAAAAACCACCCACCCCACTTCCCCCACCCCTGAGAAACTCCGAAAAACCACCGAAAACCGAAACCACTAAACGTACAACCCGTAAAAACACTCCACGTGAACCAAATGCAAACCTGATCAAATATTTTAGCCGGAACTCAGTTCCCAACGACACACAGATACTCACAAACACACACACACACACACACACCAAAAACACGCCGACACTGAGCAAAAACACTGAAAGTTTTGCACTCCCCTCTTTTGAATTCAATTGAATGTGATTTTTAGTTTTGGTATTCATCTGACCTGAAGTTTACCCTTTTTGATCTAGATTTAGTTCTGTATGTACAGCGATTGCGATGAGTGCCCTTGTACCTTTGTATATTTGTATATTTATCATATGTATTTAAGACGAATCTCCTTTGTCCCGATTTTCTTGTAGCATGAATTGTTTTTTGACTGTTTTTGTCCTTATTTTTTGAACACCTCAGCTCATCACTTCTTTTCCACTGGTCACCTTTACCTTTCTCCTCACTTGCTTCCGCCCTGAGATCTTGTTCTGTTATCCAATCACTTTCCATTACTTGTAATTCAAGTGGATTTCAGCCAGGTTCAGGGAAGTTAATTCAAATTTGTTCTCCTTTTTGAGGCGATTGCAAAGTGTCCGAGTTTTCCGGTTTTGATACTTCACACATCCCTGAAAGAATAAACAATTAAAAAAACAAGCTAGGGTTTTATACGAGTGGATTGTAATTATTTCCGATAAAAAAAAATAAAGAAATAAAAATACATTTTTTAGCAAATGTTAAATAAACCTAAACTAGATTAGTTAATCTTTGAACTTTGCAGTAGTTTCCAATAGTTCGGACTACCGACGATCAGCTTTTTTTGCGCTTTGAGTTTTTTCACATCTTGTGGCTCTGTTGTCAGCGGCTTAATAGAGTTTTGATTTTTGTAGACCTGAGGCAGCAGAAACCGCTTCCGGCGACTCGCTACGCTTTGAAGTTTGTAGTTGTTGTGAGTTTAGTGCATTTTGAGTTCCCTTTGAGTTTTCTTTTCCCCGGAGACTGTGATCAAGTAAGCCAGCTAGGAGTATTGCGATATCATGTTTTACTTTCAACCCAGCGAACCCCTCCATCCCCGAAAACCCCAACCACCTTCATGACTGAGCAGCAATGGTAGCAGTTCCAAAATCCAAAACTACAGTATGCCAAAGTGATAATTCGCACACAAATTTTTTGTTTACGAAACCCAACTCCAATGCATTCTGTTCAATCGAAAGCGAAATAAGAATCGAAAGTAACTTTGTTTGTAAAGCCTCACCACCATCTCAAGTAGATTGTTGTACCCCCGCCCCGCCCCGCTCACTCCCGAATCCCCAAAACTTGGAATTTAATTAACTTTCCCGAAGTTTGACCAAGATCAAGATCAAGATCAAGACCAGACCACTTCAATTCAAGAACATCTCTCCGTAACTCTATGTAATCTAAACCCCGTTTCTATATTTCTTAGCCCGCGTGCCCTCTCGCACTCGTATCTACTATAGTATCTAGTATCTGTATCTGTACTTTGACTTTATTCCACTCCTCTTCTACTTTTCATCGTTGCTAACTAGCACATCCAACCGTTACCTCTTCAGTTCTTTTTGGTTTTTCGAGTTTGTGTATCCTTTAGTGCGTTTCGTTTCTCCTTACGTAATGACTCCTTCTTGACTATGTATCTTTTGTCTAATAACCATAACGCATAACCTGTATCTTTAACTTTTGTATCTATACGTAGCAAGCCATAAGCCATAAATAGAGAAGTCAGCTCATCCAACGAAGCAGAACAATGAAATTCAGCTTACCCCCTCCAAAGAAACCCCTAAAGTCCAATGTCCAATGTCCAAGATCCAAGATCCCTTTCCGATCCGATTCCGATTCCGTTTCCGAAACCAGAACTGCGTGGTTGCGTACAGTGGCCTACTATGGTAGATCTGGACCCTCACCGAGTTATCTATGCATACCACCTGGGGGGCGTGGCATGTCCAAGATGTTCAACCACCCGAATCTCTCTCTCTATCGATCTCTATTCGAACCCTCGAACGTCAGTCACACGCACACCCACATTCCACCGAAGAACACTCAGCCAGCCCACACCACATAAGCCCCGATTCGACTCAGATTCGGGTTCAGACCTCGATGCGAAGCCAGGCAAGCCACCCAACGTGGCAGTCCATCTGGCATTGAAATCGCAATTGAAATTTGCATTTCTGACAGGCCTCCTGTCCCCCGACAAATCCATTTCTCCCCCCTCCGAACACTTCAATCTGCAATTGGCAGTTTTTGGTAAATTAAATGTATTATTTAGAGCCAACCAATTAAAATTGTTTAAGTGTGTTTGTTTGCGGAACGGATGCGTCCAGCTGGCCGGAAAATAAATGCATAATTTCACGGAGTATCTGTGTATCCGTGACAGATGCAATTATTCGATGGCCTGACGGGCGGATCCAGTTCCTAATTTGATTTCGTTTTAATTTGATTTGGAATCCCTATCTCGTAATTGTAATTCCTAGCTCGTTTGGTACGAAAGTTATGCATTTGGACTTGAATTAGATTTGGATTTCTTCCTTTTGTCATTTGCTAGAACTATCATAAGTTTGAACCTCTTTAGTTTCCAGACATTACCTTCCAAGAGAAAACGAGTCAGACCCAAAACAAATACACAAACAGCGAAAGCTGTTCGCGCAACGATCGGTGATTTCTGAGGATAATATTAGAATATAGTTATATGATAATGTCGACTGCAGACCCCAAGGGTAGCGTCTCTTATTTGACGACGGAGTGCCCCCCCTGGTTCACCCTCATACCATGATAATAGAACCAATTAGACACACACACGTATAGCTGATATGTATGTAGGTGTGTTATGTCCTTGTGTTGCGTCATGTGATCTGTCCCCACAACAAGAACTCACACATACAGAACCCAGCCACAACCACAACCACACGCACACCACCAACCACTAGCCACTGAACCACTTACCACAGAACCACTCAGCCACTGAACCACTTACCACTCAACCACTTACACCCACACCATCCAGAGAAAGAGTTGATCTAGACTAGAGACCCAAAACTTCGAGACCTAGGATCAAGATAAAACCCAACCCATGTTTTGCGTTTGTGTGTTTTTTGTTTGATTTCAACCAACCTTTGTTTCTCTTTATGGTTTGTTTGAAGAAGAAGGATTCACGACGAATAAATATATACTTCACATATAGTACAGCAGCCTTTGAAAAGTACAAAACCGATCAGGAGAGCCAACCGACCCCGAGTGAAACGAAAACCGAAAGTTAGCGACCCCGATTAACAGACCCAGTTTCGACTAACCCCTCGATACAAAGCTTGATCCGAGAGACCAGGACTCTAACTCGAATGTTTTTTGCTAACCCAAAAACAGATAGCCATAGCCAAACAGAATCAAAGTGAACTCTCGTGGAGAGAACTCGCAGAACTTTGCTGATTGTTGTAACCGTGTTTTCGATTAATTACAAAACCAATTAGATGTGTACAAAAGACAGACTTGATTTGAATGAATGAACGTACCGTGTTATGTGGCTACCAAAAAAAAAAAAAAAAAACAAAAAAACCAAACAATTATCGAATATTTAATACCCCCAAAATATACCTATTATCGTTGTGATTTGATTGCATTGAATTGAATCTGAATCGTTGCTGAATCATGGTCTCGACAAAGTCTCGATTGTTCTTTACCGTTCGCAGGTTATCGCAGTGATATCCATACTATTCATAGTCCTGTCTACCATAGCCCTGACGTTGAACACCCTACCACAACTACAACACATTGACAACGGTACACCACAGGATAATCCGCAATTGGCAATGGTTGAGGCCGTGTGTATCACGTGGTTCACTCTAGAGTACATACTTAGGTTTAGCGCCTCGCCGGACAAGTGGAAGTTCTTTAAGGGCGGCCTTAACATAATCGATCTATTGGCAATACTCCCATACTTTGTTTCGTTATTTCTATTGGAAACGAATAAGAATGCAACGGACCAGTTCCAGGATGTGCGTCGGGTGGTGCAGGTCTTTCGCATCATGCGCATCCTGCGAATCCTTAAGCTGGCCCGTCACTCAACGGGCCTGCAGTCGTTAGGCTTTACGCTGCGTAACTCGTACAAGGAACTCGGTCTACTAATGCTGTTCCTGGCCATGGGCGTTCTCATATTTTCTTCGCTGGCATATTTTGCCGAAAAGGATGAAAAGGATACAAAATTCGTTTCAATACCGGAAACATTTTGGTGGGCGGGTATTACAATGACAACTGTTGGCTACGGGGACATCTATCCCACAACTGCACTGGGAAAGGTTATTGGTACTGTGTGTTGCATATGCGGTGTTCTGGTAATCGCTTTGCCTATTCCCATCATCGTTAACAATTTTGCTGAATTTTATAAGAATCAGATGCGCCGCGAAAAGGCCCTCAAGCGTCGCGAGGCACTCGATCGTGCCAAGCGCGAGGGCAGCATTGTCTCCTTCCATCATATCAATCTGAAAGATGCCTTCGCCAAGTCCATGGACCTCATCGATGTGATTGTCGACACAGGTAAGATCTATTTCGATCTATTACTCTACAATGAATGTGCCTTGCTTACGTATCTACTAAATTACTCGACCGAAGGGATCATCAAACTGATCCCGTGCGCCTCAAGCTATGCTTACTGTCCACCTAACAAAATAGTGATTGCACAGAAAAATATACGACTTGAAAAGTAGATTTTATTTTGATTATCAGTAGATTAATTACAATTCGTATTGTATGGTTGTAAATTTACAAAAAAAATTATGATTTATTTACTCTGTATATTTTCTGTGTAATGTCCCCATGAATCCTGCGAATCCCCTCCCTTTTAACTTTGCTTACTCTCGTGTAGTTTTGTGCATTAGCTGTCTAAGTAACCATTTGTCTCTTTTTCTTTTGGCATGGACTTTTGTTCTCGGCTTCTTCGCACTATCAGTTCGGATTGGTTTTGAATCTTTTTCGTTACCAGCTGTATCTAAATCCAGCCTAGAGGCGTGTATATAGCAATCACAGAGGTCGGGCGCGAGTCCTGCCTCTGCTGAGCCGTAAGATGATAGAAATTGTTGAACCGTTGATTATCCCGAGCTCAGACCCACGTTCGACCGATCAATTGTAAACTAGCTAAGCGATTTGAGTTACTCCTAAGTTCCGTAGCTAAGACCCACCCTACAAAACAGAAAACACCCAGCGTCACACGATAATGGTCAATTAGGCAAATGCTTCTGTACTTAGCGCATTAAGCGGGAAATTAGTGGGGTTTTCACTTGTACAAAGCACACCACCCGAACCCCCGAAACCCCCAGTCGACACCTCTGCTGTACAAAGCCGCGCGCCTAGAAGTAGGCAATTGAGTCCCACGGCCCTTTAAAGCCGGCGAAAGCCCGGGAAACCGAACCTAACCGAAACCCTGCAGCCCTAACCCTCTCAACCCTCGACGTGTGTTCTATTTTAGGCAAGCAAACAAATGTCGTGCATCCGAAGGGTAAAAGACAAAGCACCCCCAATATAGGCAGGCAGACCCTCGATGTGCAAAGCGCCCCAGGTGACTACATTGCGTATACGTAGCCTAGCCACTGCCACTCTTTCCAGCCACCCAACCAACAACAACCCGTACTTCTCGTAATTCTCTATTAAATGCCGTAGCCTTTGACAATCGCTTTCAATAGCCCCCAGACACACGGATACGAACACAGATACACACACACACAGTCACACGCGCCAACTACAACCACACACTATTGTACTATATATACTCTACTATATATTACACTTGCACACTCTCTCCCTTTGGAGTTTCCTCTTTTCGTCTTAGTGTATTTTTGGTATACTTAACAAGCCTCAGTAAAATATCGGAATAACAAATAAGTTTTGGTAGAGATATAGCTTTGTCTAGGTAGAGAATCCTCACGGCTTCAGCTTTATTCTGGCTTTTGCTAAGTGAAAGTTAAGTACTTGCAGCTGTCCTGGGCTTTGAGAAAGTAAAATATTAAAGATCAAAATTTATTTCAAAATTAATAAAAGAGTTGGCATTTCATTTAGCAAACATTTAAATACCATGTTAAGAAGAATTCTGTAGCTCACTATACAAAATAATTTTAATGTTTAAATGGTTATTTTCCAGAGAAACTTTAATAATAATCTTGATTTCAATCATTATCATTATCAAAGTAGAATTAAAGTTTTCTATGAATATCACAAACTCACAGTAAATATTAAAATAGTAACTTAATATGCAAAGTAGTTAGTTATTTGAAAACTTTATTGGAAGTTGAATTATAAAGCCCCCATTCTCGCTCCGCACAGCTGCAATCCGAGGTATACAAAAGCCCCGAGACGTCCTGTATATATAGCCAAGGATCTAGTGATTAGCTAGGCAATTGCTGTTGCAATTTGTTGCGTTGTTCGGTTTTAGTTTGCCTTCAGTTAAATTCAGTTTGCCTAACATAATTGCTGACTTCAGTTGGACATTTGCCAGAATTGCGAATTATACTGATGACATTTTGCTACTCATTGCTTGATTCTTGTTTTGATTCCGCCACAACCATAGCAAATTTGAATGCTCAACATAGAGTTACCATTTCGAACTCAATTGACGATGTCAAAAAGAAACCATGAAAATTATTATAAATACAACAAACAAACATTTTTAGAAAATTTTCAAGTGCTGATTACATACAGTTATATAATATACGAACACGAACACGACCACACACGAAACCATATGATGTATATGCTCATTCTCTTAGCCAACCGTAGTTGTACCTTAGCGAACCGAGGTCGTTTGGGGCCTGTGCCTAGAAAACTAGTCTCAACTACTCGTATATCTCTACCTTCAACGTGTTCTTTTCTCTGCTCTTCTTTTTCTACTTTCTGCTCACGACATTCTTTGAACTTCCAACCATTTCGAACCCCAAACATGAACACACACACACACACTCGTATACGAATTTTGAAATTGAAATTGCAAAACACACTGAATAAACCGTTTATTGACCCAAATGCGGCTGATTTTGACCTAGGCGAGAAAAACACGCTAATCGAGGCGCCGCCGCCGCCCTCCTTCGGCACGCCCCGTCGGCGGGCGCTCTCGGCGAGAATCCAGGAGCTGAACCGCAGTTTGCTGGAGGAGCGGGACGCCCAGCAGCAGAACAGTTCCAGCGACAACGAAGACAGCCGATAGGAAGTCGCTCCGCTCCAGCCGAAAGGAAGTCGCCCCAGAAAGCAATCGAATCGCTGGCGAACCGCTGCAACCACAGCAACAACAACCCGACCCAATAAACAACAACATACTCGTACAACAACCTACACTAAGCGAAACTAGCTAAGAGAATGACAGGCGATTGTTATTGTATATGTAAATTAGTCGAAAACAAATGCAATTTGTTACAAACACACCCACTCAACCACAACACAAACACACACACACACGGATCAATCACACACACACACACACAAGAGTCCTGGACTTAAGCGAAAGTACTTCCAGATGCAAAAAGAAAAGAAAAGAAAATCGAAAGAAAAACACTCGGTTAGCAGTTATCCCATATGCGTAGGCTTGCTTCGAAGCTTCAATCAATCAGAAACCAAGTGAATTGTGTACTTCCATATTCGATTTATTTTCCAATTGAATGTTGTGATTAAATGTAACTGTAACTGCTTTTAGGCGCCCTCATATCCGAACACACGACCACACGACACACTCACACTCACACACTCGTACAGACATGCTGTCACACACACACACACACATGCTGCTAAGAGCCCGTAATTATGCATTGCGCATACGCCACGTTGCCATAGGTTTTCAGTTTAGTAAGAGTTAGGTGCATTAAGAAGAACACAACAACTGTTTTGTGGTTTACTGCATCTAAGTCTCAAGCATTTTATATATCGTTGAGTTGTGTTAAATAGATTGATATTTTTATTTCCATCTATGATTTGCTGTCTGTTACCCACTTCCTGTGTTTGTTTTGTAAAGTGTGTAAGAGCTAGACGCAAGACAGCAAAGGCGTATGCTTCATCGTACTATCGTATATTGAAAGTTTTGCTAATGTCCATCAGCACTTGAAAACAAATCTAAACGAAATTTAAAGCCATAAACGAAGTGAAGATCGCTCAAATTTGCTGATGTTCTCCTCAGTTTGTTATGTCTTATTTTCGTAATTCGTAATTCGTAAATTCGTAAACGATTGCCTGGCCAGTTTTGCTAAATCCATTTGGTTCCAACTCGAACATTCGTCTGCAAGCAAAACTTTCAAGTACCCAAATGTGATTTGCAGTAGTGGGTGTGGCAGCATGTGTGTGAGCGAAATCTTCCAGGAACCACAGTGTTCCCCATATAACCCAACCAACCCAGAGTAGCCCAAAAATGCTAACACGACACGCCATTTCGAGAGCCAAACTCTGAAAATACAATCCGCGAAGCACAATTTTGATTTAGTCTAAATCTTAGCGATTAACTAGGCCTAACCTCTATGTAACTCCAAAAAAGGCATTTATCGAGCGCACTAGTCAAAAGAATTCCCTCCATGGACACGAAAGCACTCCAAGTGGTCGCCATGAGGTAAACCAAATCGAAATCGAATGGGTAATAAGAACCTTAAGATACGTGAAATCCAAAACGAACAACAAAAAGAGCAAGCCTTATTTATGAAATTAGTTGTTGTAGCTGTGAGAGGGTAAGCTTAGTTTTTAATTTAGAGAGCGCATCGGCGACATAGCGTGCATTAGGTATACCAATGAAATATACTCGTTCCAAATGTAGAGACATGAGAACTTAGCAAAAGATGGCGATACGTTCCTAAAACGCATAAGCACAACGGAAAACAAAAGAAATTGCCTTATTTAAAGCAAATTGCTCCTAGTTTGCAGCCATATACTCGTATAAATACTTTAAGATAGAGCAGGCCACACAACCAAAGCTGAAGTTTTGTTAAATTGTAAGCCCAATAAGAAATATCGAAAATATCGATACAAATAAGCGAGCTGAGCGGCTCGAACGAGCCAAGTTATATACAAATTATATACAGATTTTGAAACCCCTTTTGTGTGTGATATTCGAACGATTACCTATGATTTGCCTTGAGTTCCACATAGTTCAAACATTTCTATCATTGCGCTCGAAAAGCTGCAGTCCTGCAAAACAAACGGACTGACATTCAAAAAGCCTTTACGTGCCTTTTACCCGATATTTTTCCATGGTCCCTTGTTTTCTTACTTGTTATATATGTGTGTGTGTCCTCGACCTTTAATTTCCACATTATTATCGCTTCCGTTCCTAAATTTAATCCAATCTATCGCGCTGCATGCTCTAATCCTATGAACTAACCTATAGAAACTGTGTACGCTCTCTTTATGCTCAAGCCATGTATGATCGAACAAGAACATATAGTGAATATGATTACTTACTCGTACTCGTACTCGTACTCCTACTCGTACTCGTACTAATCCAAATGAATAACTGTGTACTGTACTCGTACTTTTGTGTACTACTGTTAAAGCCGTAAACAACTTTGTGTGTCTGTGAAATTAGCAATAAAACCAAAACCCAAATGTGCTGTATTATTTCATTGTATCAGCTAATCCAAACATACCGCCAACCCATGACTGTCCAAGGGTCGATATCCACACACTTAATTTGGTGTTCAAGCCTTGGCCAGCTTTTGAGTTCGGGCCTTGAATGCAGAAGGCCAGAAAAGGGGTTCATTTTACTTGCAACTCATTCCAAAGCATCTGAGCAAATTTTCCGTTTCCATTTACTCATCAACAAGTTTTCCGGGATAACGATACAAGATCACACCTCAACATAAATGGCGTGAATGACCATGAATCGAAATTTTGTCTGTTCGAGAATGACAACCACGAGAATAATGTTTCGCACATTTGTTTTGCCGCGTCCATTCAGAGCACCAAACACTAAAGTCTCTAAAAATGACCAAGCAAATAGAAGGTAGGAAGGACATTCTTCAAGATACTTTTTTCATTTCCACTCAATACTTTTGTAATAGCAATTGTTACTTTTTTCATTAACTTCTTTTCCATTTCCACTTTAAACTTCAAGTGTTGTACAAAACTATATATTTCAACTATACTTCGACAGGTTCATTCAGTTCAAAGATCCTAGGCCTTTGATTTCCGTTTCCTTTATTGTCAATAGAAAACTAACTATTAGCTTATTATGATTACTAACACCATGACTAAATGTGTTCCCTAACTATAAACTAGAGTTAAATAGCGTTATCAGCCAATAGCATCACTAGTTAACTAAATGTTGTTCCAAGCCGTTTAATCACACTCAAGAGTAAGCTCTAACTTAACCCCTAACTACTCTATAGACGTCGTTCTTCAATGTTGTTCTCACTGTACCCCACCTAACTGAATCTAACATATAGAACCTAACGTTTTGTGGTCGCCGTCGTCATCGTCGTCGTAACAATTACTAACCAAACTGAAGCGAAGAACAAACATTCATGGAACCATTTTCTTTCTTTTTCCCTCTTTTGATTTGAATCGAAAACCAAACCGAAACCAAAAACAAAACAAACGATCCAAAATCCGCTCTAACTCATTAAAACTATATATACGAAATATTTAACCCTGTGTATATATAAATATCACCGCTGGCGTCCGTCGGCCAAACAAATGCGAAACGAAACTGGCGACAAAATGCATTCATGGCTTCTTTGCGCGAACCCCGAAACATGAAATCCGAACAAACCGATCGTGAACCTGAACATATAATCCGATAACACCACTCCACCCACCCACACTGACACACCACCACCCACACTCACGAATGCCGAGCAGAAAAGCGCGAGAGCCACACACGATCACTCAAAAATTGGCACCGTTTAACCCACGCGCTCCGCCGATCGCCCACAGGCCACAATCTCTCCCAAACGGACGGGAACAGCACCGAGGGCGAGTCCACCAGCGGACGCAACCCGGCGACCACCGGCACCGGCTGCTACAAGAACTACGACCACGTGGCCAACCTGCGCAACTCCAACCTGCACAACGTAAGTCGTCCTTGGTCGCGTGAAATGTGTGTTCATGTTTGAACTGTGACAAGAATTCAACTTTTCATTTGAACTCTATACAAATGTTTATTGATAAGTTTCTCAACGTTTCCTATGGCTTGCATTGCAACGCCTATGATATTGGTTTTGACTTTGAAGTTTTGCATTCCTTTTCAAATCAAATTGCTAATAATTACGTATTACCTCAGTGTGCATATTTAAATTAGCAAAAATAATCATTTGGTGAATACTCGTTCGTCCCCATTCCAAATAGGGCATTCGAGGGTTGTAAGTACTCCTCGCCTCAGGACGCCATTAAACTAGACCGAATCTGTGTGTGTTAAGGACACTTTTTAGGAAGTACACTAACCGCTTTCCCTCTCGTTCGATCCAGCGCCGCGGATCCAGCTCTGAGCAGGACGCAGTGCCGCCGTACAGCTTCGACAATCCGAACGCCCGCCAGACCTCGATGATGGCCATGGAGAGCTATCGCCGCGAGCAGCAGGCCTTGCTGCTGCAGCAGCAACAGCAGCAGCAACAGCAGCAACAGCAGCAACAGCAGCAGCAACAGCAGCAGATGCTGCAGATGCAACAGATTCAGAAGGCGCCCAACGGAGGCGGAGCCGCACAGGGAGTGACCAACAACCTGGCCATAATGGCCGCCTCGAGCGCCGCGACCGCTGTGGCGACCGCCAGCACCAGCAACACCAGCAACACCGCCCAGGGGTCAGAGGGCCAAGGCGCCGAGGGAGGCGGCGAGGGGGCCGACGAGGACAACCTCTCGCAGGCGAAGGGACTGCCCATCCAGATGATGATCACGCCCGGGGTAAGTCTGCGAATCAGGGGGAGATACCTACTCATTGCCATACTCGCAATCGTACTTCTTGAATATCTTAATGTTTTCAAAGTTCCTAAACCGTAATCCTATGTATTAGTAAATGTGAAGCCGTTGAACTGGATCGAAATATACTCAAATAATTCTAATTGTACCCCAATTATTACTCACGTTTCGTTCCTTCTCATTTGCCACCAGTTAGCCGGGAAAATTTGATTGAGTTTCAGTTTTGTTTACCACACATCCTCGGTGACCTTTGGTTGTGTGTTCTTGAGTTCCCCACATTGGCGGCCTCTTTTTGTAGTTTTAGTATCCCTAGTCTGTTGAGCTTCACGTTCTTTCTTGAGTTCAGTTAAACAAATTCCAATCACCACAGAAATATATATGAAAAAAAAAAGAAAAACCTTAAGACCCTCGAGAACAGAAAGCCAAGTTCTTTAACAACATTCACACATTTCAACTTTTAGATTTTACGGGGACGCAGTAAGGAGGTACATTCAAAGTATACACAGAACTCAACCTACTCTAATACTCTACCTTACTCTACTCGAATGCATTTGTGCCACAGCTATATATCTTTTATATCTATTCGATTTTGCCAACCGATTAGTTTTGAATGGATTTGCGGATTGATTGTCTTCATTTCAGTGGCTGAACCAATGTTACGAATATTTTGTTTTGGGCGAACGTGCAATTGCATTGGTGTTTGCCATATCTACATGAATGACTATCTGATAAATGCGGATAATGTTGAACCATTTTTTAATTCTTCGATACTTTTCTTAAATCCCATTTGAAAGATTTTTAATTTCGGTATTAGTTAGTTTCTTTAGGTGCTGATTTACTTTACGAGTGCCTATGAATGGATTTTGTTTCTAAATTCCGAATTGGAATTGTCTGTCGGTCAAGCCTAAAAATTTTCAATTAATTATTTAGGTACTCAAAAATGTAAACGAATTTCCGCCGAATTGGAAAAAGTGTTCTACATATTGTATATATAATTTCTTTAAAGGATTTCGCTTTAAGAAATGGATAGTTTTAGAGCTAATAATTGTGATTTGCCTTTAACATTTTCTCAGTCTGTAAGCCAATAGTTTTGCTCTGCTAACTTCATATTTGCTGCATTTTTCTTAAATCAAAAAATATCAGAAAAATTGCCTTTTGATTTTCCACACTTAACCAGATTTTATCCGAAGTTCTGACATTACAACCTCATTTCTTCACAAACATGTACACAGTGATACGCCCCCTTATACAGTTTAGGTCTTTTCAAACAAGTGCAGGAACTTTAATTAATAACTAACTAAATAGAATAGGAAATGAACAACGATTTAAGGGAAATATATATTACTTTATGGAATGAGATATTAGTGAAAAGAAACTTGTACAAAATATAAAAGTATTTGCGTGAGCTAAGTGTATTCCAGGTTGGTGAGGGGATTCCCGCTCGGCAGGCTGATGAAGTCACTGGGACCGGCTCCACTGGTTGGATTGGCGTTACCCTGACTCGGACCCTGTCCCTGACCTTGTCCCTGAGCTTGGCCTTGTCCCAGCTGTGGCTGCTGCATGAGCAACATCTGCTGGTGGGCAGCCGTTCCAGGGAGACTAGGAGCGATGGCGGGAACGGGAGTGGGGCGGTCGTACTGCTGCAGCGGCTGCTTCAGCTTCTCCAGCAGGGCGTGCAGGTCCACCGTGAGCCGCGGCTGGACGATGCCCTCCGCCGCCTGGAGGCCCACCATCTGCGAGGAGAGCGCGTCCACGTCCTGGCGGGCGGCGAAGAGCAGCTGGTCGTGGGCCGCCAGCTGGAGCTGGGCGATCTGGGCGCGGATCGCGGAGGCGGCCACCTCCTGCTGCGCGGTGTGCAGGGAGGCGGTGATGCTGCGCACCTGGTTGGCCGACTCCTCCAGCTGCGCCTGCGCGGAGGAGGCCACCGCCTGCGCCTTCCGGATCTCGGTGGCCTCCAGCTGGACCCGGGCCTGGGCCACGTACAGGTGCTGCACGAGGTTGCGCAGCTCCTGGCGCCGCTGCTCGGTCTCGTCCTGCTCGGAGTAGGCGCTCGGCGTGCCCTGGGTGATCCTGTTCAGGGGGGAGCTCTGCTGCAGCTGCCAGTTGGGCTGGCAGTAGCCGACGACCGGGGATCCCGATCCCGATCCCGATCCCAATCCCGATACCGAGGACGGGGCGGCCAGAGTCTGGCCGGCGAGATTCGGAACCATTTGGCAGGTGTTCATCGCATTCTGATCCGATGCCGGACTGCCCAACCCGGAAGCTGTTGGGGTCGGGGGATTATAATCGAAACACTCTTACATACGGTTGTGCCCACCTAAAGGATCGATCTCCAGCAATCCCTCGGCGTCAGATCGCATCCTTCTCCGCTCCATGTTCTCATCGGCACTCGCCTCGCACTCCCCCGCCCACCGAAGGCGAGATCTTCTTCCGACTTCGCATTCCGCCTGGCTGACCTTCGATGCCGATTGCGCAGATAATTACAGACAGTTGAACTGCGGGTACATGGGATCAACTATTCATGGGGTCTTCTCAAGTATATGTACACTCACCGATCCAAAAGAGATTGCTTAGGCGCATTTAGAGCACATTTAGACCAAGTTGAGCCGGGTTCTGCGGCAGCAACCATTGAGCTGGAAAATAGAGGCTCGCCAGTATCTCTTTCATAAGTTTTCCTTTAGGTTGTCACTCGATATAAATCGAGACACTTATGCATTGACTTACTGGGTTTGAAGTTGTTTAGAAAATCGTTTGAAAATTTGTAGTTTTGAGAAGTTCTATTATCCGAAATGAGAATTCATGGAGGATCTAGGGAGTTAGGATCCCTAAGTTAGTAAAGCATACATATTGAATAGCAATCCATCGAGCAGGCCACACGATCACCCCCACACAGCTTGCGCCGCATGCCCACAGGATTATTGTTCCACTCTTCCGCTAACCTTACTCCACTCCTTACCTAACCACCTCTAATCCCGAGAACGCTCTGCATGCGGCATGCCCTGCATCCGGAGACCCACTGTACATAGGCCTAGATACCCGTATATATTCCGATTGCTAGCGACCGATGCCAAACGAAACACTCACCTGGTGCCTCCATCCCCACACCCAACTATTTATAGGAAGTGGCCGAGCTGCGGCGCCAGGTGGCCCTGGAGAACCTGCAGAACCAGCGGATGGACAACCTGGAGCAGGACGTGCCCGTGGAGTTCGAGTGCTGCTTCTGCACAACCAAGGTAACCGGGGGACGGAGCAGTCCCCATCCCGTAGCTGTGACCACTCGGTGTTCCCGTTTGCAATGCTCGAGCCGCTTTTCCGTGTACTGTGCTCTGTGTTTAGTCGCATGCCTGCACCCCGATTACATATCCTTATCATTGCTCTTTGGTTCCGTATCCGTTTCCGTTTGCGTTTGCGTTTCCGTTCCGACCAATCTCAACTAAACCCGACTAAATCATGCTCGACCTGTACATACCGCCGCATAACCGCCATTGGCAGACTGTGAAATTGTTAACCCATCAAATTCACACTTGGGGGCAACAGTTGATCCTGGGGTGTCACAGAGAAACCGAACCATTTAATTGAGGGGTAGTACTATATTTTATTTTTTAAAATATATATTGAAATGAATTTAATTACAAATAGAATAAAAAATTTAAGTAACTTAGTAGTTTTATATTTTTAATTTGCTTTTCAATTCTTTTCTCAAAATTTATTAGAGGTTTCTGTGACACTTCTGTTTGCAAATCAGTAGAGACTTGAGCTTCTCGCATAGGTCCTTCCAAACCATAGGCGACCCCGTACTCGACCCGCAGTAGTTGGATTGGTAGAGCAGCGAATACGATACCGCTACCGATACCTGTACCAGTACCGATAACAGTACCGATACCGATAACGATACCGATACAGAAACCAAACGAACGTTGTTGCAGGACCGCATTTGCGTCTTCCACGACAAGGAGTACAGCATCAAGCGGCTGGCCCGACCGCCGCCCGCGCCGAAGAACTACCTGGCCCTCAAGCGGATGCTCGAGGAGGGCACCATCGACATATACTACCTATGATCCATAATCGATAATCCACGGATCCCATCCCTGGGCTGGGAAAGGATGGTATTTACCCAGCAAAACCAGTGCCGTCCCCTTGAGATCGTTTCGTTCCACTTTTGATTTGTTTTCGTTTGTTTCGTTGGCTTCCTGTGCGATGGAACTGGATTGCAAATCGATTTTATGTTGACTTGTTTCTTTTCGTTTCTTTTCTTAAAGGGTTTGCCGGGATGCCACGGCGAGTGTATTCCATTGCGCGCGAATAGCGTTTAGCCAGATTCCCCCGACCCCGACGAGATATAGGAGTCTATATAGAAATCGTATCGGAAGTACTTTGTGCCGGCCGCATCGAATGCGTGACCGGGACGGCGAATTGCGAATTGCGAATTGCGATTAGACCTTAACTAGCTTTAAACCACCAACAAATTACTACTTAATGTTATTATTACTGATTACTGCTACGATTATTATTACTATTATGGTGTACTGTTATCATCGGGCCTGGCGTGACGTGACGTGAAAGCTAAAGAAAGACATAGCGAATTCTAAGAATTTAATTAAATTAACTAAAGCCTAATCTACCATCTAAAACGCAACCAGGAGAGGAGAGCAAGCAAAGCAAAGCAGCATGTGTTATTATTTAATTTAATTCAATTTAGTTTAATTTAATTCGTTTAATTTAGAATGTGAACCAAGTGACCGGAGCTTGAGGGCTTGACGAAAGTTTAAATCGATTCTTTTTGTTTACACTAAGCACGTAATTACAACTAGCCTAATACTTATCTATATCCTAGCAAATGGCCTTAGCCTTAAGTAAAGTAGCTGCAACTGCAATCGCCAAACTGAAAACCAGCAAACATCGAAATTAGCTGATACAACCGAAACAAAGATACAATTGTCTAGTTGCTCGAACAACCAATGTTAACGCTCTCTCATTATTAGTTCTTTATTTCCTGTTATCACTCAACCAAACAACCAAACAAGAAACCACAAACCGAATGGGAAATTCTGCAAATAAAAAACAAAAACGAACCAGTTTAATTTCTTTGTCAACTTTACCTATTCTATTCGCACTCGACTTTCTGGCACCTCACTTCTCTACTCTTTCCGTATTGCTCGCCTAGAATTTCTGTTTGGTTTCGGTTTTAAATTCGATTAGAGTATTAACCTGTATTAAACGTTCGCGTTGCGGAACCACTTCGAAGGCATCTTCTAGCGGTTTGGTAAGTAAGGCGTTTTGCGTCTGAATATCGAAACACTCACCTTTCTAGCGATTGCTCAACTTGGGGATCTGTCAGATTTTAATATTAATCTTCTATCCTATATGCTTTCACGAAAAATATTAAGTCTAAATCAACTCTTTCAATGCCTCAAATAACAAGTTGAGAAACCGCACCGCCTTTCTTTTGATTTATTAAATACGACTAAATGTTAACGATAAATAGCGCTGCACGTTTGAGTTTTACTTGGCGCCTCCTAGTTGCATGTTAATCTTTGTTATTCGAGCGAAACAACAAGTGACAATTCGCACACAATTAGAGAGCTAACACCAGACAACAGGTACACCAAACTAAATCAGACACTAACAAGCAGCCAGAGAACATTCCGAAAGCCCAACAATTCATGAAATTGTGGTCCAGCTGAGATTTTGTGAGCGGATTAAAGCGATGTGGTGGAGGTCTAACTTAGATATGCAATCTAATTTGTAATAATAATTAAGTAAGCTCCACCGTATCGGTTTAATCGTTGGCCTTGCATTCGGTTTTTAAGCTTCTGCTTCTGAAACTGCATCTCCTTTCAAAACCCCAAATCGTTGCAGGACTTCAAGGAGTACACGGATGCGGAGGGCGTGATCTCGCTACCCACCTCCGACTTCCACAAGCCGATCTGCCTGGAGATGCGACTGGCAGCCGCGAGTCGCCAGGCGGGAGCCTTCGGCTTCCTCTCGCCGCTGCCGCTGCCGCCCCCGCCGCCGCCGCCGCTGCAGGGACCGCTCCTGGCGCTGCCGCCCCCGCCTCCACTGCCGCCGTCGTCCGGCGGTGCCGTCCTGCTGCCAGCCATATCGCAGTCCTCGTCGACGTCCTCCTCGTACGGCACCACCACCTCCACCACCATCGCCCTGCCGCTCGACGTGTCCCTGCGCTACGGAGCCACCATCTGCAGCTCGTCCAACTTCAACTTCAACCACAACCTGAACAACAACTTCAACACCACCACGGTGGGCGGCAGCGGGGCCAACGGGTCGCTGCTCTTCGGCGGCAACTACAACTACAACGGGAGCAACAACAACAACGCCGACCTGGCCAGCGTCGACAGCTCGGACACGTACGCCAGCTGCCAGACGCACCCGTTCCTCTCGCAGGGCGACCTCACCGCCGACTTCAACGACGAGGCCTGCGCCCTGGACATCGACATGGACAACCTGTACATAAACCCGCTCGAGCGGGAGCAGCACCAGGGGATCAGCGGCTCCACGGGCTTCATCGTCGGCCTGCCGAGCACCAGCTCCGCGGGCGGACTGCGCGCCCAGGTGAAGAAGAGCGCCTCCGGGGACACGGCCCTGAGGAACCTGGCCTCCGGCGGCGGAGGAGCCGGCGGGCTGAGTCCCCTGGACGACGTCTACCAGAGCTTCGACGTCCAGGAGCGCGGAAGCCGGGTCAGCCTGAACGAGAACTCAGTGCCAAAGCATCGGAAGACGCGGTTCCAGCAGAGCTTCACGGCCATGCGGCCCACTGGAGCCCCAGCAGCAGGAGGAGTCCTCGGGGGCATCCGGCCACGCGCCCGCTTCGAGGACACCAAGCTGGACGACGAGATGGGCGGAGGCCGCGCGGAGGCATCCGGCGGATCCGGCAGCCCAGCGGCCAGCGGATCAGGCGCATTCGGCGCCCAGGGACCCAAGAAGAAGCGCTCGGTCTTCATGCCGGGCAAGAGCTTAGCCACTGCCACCAAACTGATCAACCAGCATTTGTTTGGCATACAGAATGTGGGCGCCAAAGGTGAGTTCACAAACTATACCTATTTAAAAATAAGAAGTCTGTCTTCTTTTGTTTATGTTTACCAACGAAACTAATATTCAATTGAATCCACAGCCAAGTTCGAGAGCAAGCATTCCTCATCGATAGACTCGATTGACGCCTCGCCCAATCTGGAGCACCACCGGCGCTCCAAGTCGATCCTGAAAAACAAGTCTGATATCTCGCGCGTCCTGTCCGATCCGGAGAGCGAGCGTCTCCTGGCGGACAACATGTCCGGCTCCGGCGTCTCCGACAACGGCACCGTAATGGTTCGTTACCCTAACAGAGCAATCCCTTGTCGAGTATTAATCGAACTCTTTTTGCAGGGCGAATCCGGCAGCGATTACTCACCGAATAAATTACCTCATTCAGTTTTAGCTAAGTCTATCTCCCCACCACCCCTCAGGCACCGCACCCTCATGCACCAGCGCTCAGGACCAGCGACCTTGCAATCGAAGCCCACGAAGTTCCAGACGCCCCGCTACCCCGAGGAGCAGGCGCTGCGCCAGGTGAAGCCCCTCCTCTCGCGCGGCCCCGCCTCCACCTCCGCATCCGCATCGGCGGGCTCCGCGGATGGGCAGCAGACCAGGGACAGCAGTCTGGGTAAGTGGCAACCGAACTGGGCGAGCAGCTGGCGGTGCTGGAAAGGTTTTTGAGATAGGTCTTGGTATCCAAAACAGGATAAATAAATAAATATTAATCATTATTGGTATATTATATATGTAATAGTGGATAGACAAACTCTTCTTTCCATCAGTGCCAGCTTGCTCCTTTTATCCTTCTCTCTCTCTCGTCCCTTCTCTGTCTTTTCCTGTGTCATCTTGTAAGTGCGTCCTGGGGTTTCCTTCGGCCACCACGAAACCAGAAATCATCTACAACCGTTTCTTTTCTCTCCCGTTTCCCCCGCTTGCTGGCTGGCTGTCAGTCACCGTCTTCGATGCCGCCTACTGAACTCCCGCCCCGAACTACACCCATCGCCACCCACATCGCATGCCCACGAACCCATGAAACCGAATCCGACACCGAAACAGAAACAGACACTGACACACTGACATCCCACGGAGAGCGGCGGCCGCCGATCGGGCGATCTGTTAGTATTACCGATCCGACCTATAAAGCTCACTACCGGCGATCTGAAAAGATCGCTGCCCTGCCGCACCCAACACCGATCGATGTCCTTAATCTAGCACCCAGCTGGGACCGAAGCCCGAGCACCAGATCGGTGTTAACCGCTTTAGATGTTGAGCTTTCACACGAATCACTTACACACCCCACACATGATCACCCTTGAGCGGCTTCCTGTTTGGCACTTCGATTTGAACCAACCCACTTTATAAAGAGCAGATCAGCTAAGTAACTTTGCTATGCTATGCCGCGTCTAAATCAGATCAAAACAAGAATGGAAGCTAGCTTTGGCGAACTGAAGCTTCTACTTCCTTGCAGTCATCACAAAAGTCGAGCAAAATGCAAAAGAGCTAAACAACATAGATGTAATGAAGATAATCTTTTGATTTTCCCATATTTTCTCCGGTTGTTCCTTCCGATTGAATGCAATTTAATTGTCATTAAACTGATCTCTGAGTTAGTTGATAGAAACCATTTTTTAAAGCGCTATATTTTTAGTGGTTTTTCGGTTGTAATAAGACCAAATAGTGACTTACAGCGAAACCAAACACTGTTTTACGCACCTTATGACCACAGTTAACGAGCCTAATCACTTTTTGGATGATTAAAAAAAAACGATTTTTGGCCAATTTTCGTATTTTTCATAAGGGGTAACATCGTCATTTTTTGCGAAAAATGGCAAAACTTCAACTTTTTTGGGTGCTTATACCATCGGAATCAGAATTTTATTACGAATTCAACGATGTATGCCACTCCACATTTGGGAGAGTACTTTCTCAGATATTGCAAAAAAACTAGTTTTTTTAAAGCCATTTTTTGTTGTTTTGAGCAAAAAAAAAACTTTTCCCATTGGTAATTTGTCTGTTATTTGGGCAAGAAACAACTTACAGCCAAATAAAGTACAGTTTTGGAAACTAGAAAAGCCCAGCAATTCATGCCACCGAATGCAAAATTAACTGTTATTTTACTGATCGTTTAGTAAGTTCATAAAAACTGATTTGGGAACGATTGGTTAACAATTCCGGTAGAAAACACTATATTTTGAGTGGGTTTTTTGGTTGTAATAAGGCCAATTAGTGACTAACAGTGGAACCAAACACTGTTTTGAGCACCTTATGACCACAGTTAACGAGCCCAATCACTTTTTGGATGATTAAAAAAAAATGATTTTTGGCCAATTTTCGCATTTTTCATAAGGGGTAACATCGTCATTTTTTGCGAAAAATGGCCAAATTTCAACATTTTTAGGTTTAAATGTAATCGGATTCGAAATTTTATTCCGAATTCAACGGTGTGTGCCATTTCACATTTGGAAGAGTACTTTTTTAGATATTTAAAAAAAACTGGATTTTTAGAGTCATTTTACGTAGTTTTTTTGGGCAACTGTTATTTGGGCAAGAAACAACTTACAGCCCAACAAAGTATAGTTTTGGAAACCAGAGAACTTTATCTATGCCACCATCATAAAACTGTATTTTAAGATATGTTCGAGGTCGTCAAAAACATTCTCAACCTATGTAGGTACATATATATTTTTTTGATACTTATGGAAGGTGAATTTTTTCCTGCTGAAAAGCCATACAATTTAATTTTATTATTTATTTATTATTATTAATTTTAATTTAAAAACACTTAATTATTTCGATTAAAGTAAGTTAATGCTATATGTGTATTTTCATTTTGTATCTGCTCTACATAAAGTGGGTTGGTCGTCTTTCACTCATCCTGTGCAATCGGTTGTGATGATAAGCCTCTGTAACCTGTAACTTACTAATCGTATCCATTCTCGCCACACAGACTCGGAGACGACCTTCACATCGCCAGTGAGCAGTCGGGCTGGCGAGGATCCCCCGCTGGATCCACCCCGAGCCAAGTGGCAGGACCTCCTGGCCAGGAGGAGCGCGAGGAGGAGGGCGAGGCGGAGGCCAACGACGAGCAGAGGGCGCTGCTCCAAGGACGCGACGCCGAGGAGGCGAAGAGGGCGGGGAACGAGGGCACGTAGCGATAAGGGACCCACGCACAACCCGACACCCCGAAATTGTAAAAAAGCAAACCAATTCCAAGGGAAACCCACACACACACCCACACACATACACAATCGAAGACAGCAAGACACACAAATACAAAGGGAAACTCAAAGTGATAGCAAAGTTAGCAAACATGGAATGTGAATTATATAAAAGCAATGAACAGTATCCTAGTCTAGAGAAGGTCCCTGGCAGATCCGCGGAACTCGATCTGCGTATTTTTACAAGAGGAATGAGAGCATTAGGGCATGAGCTACCCGAACTGCAATGCAAAGTTGCGGAGCCGCGCGAGTCGTACAAAGAGCCTAACATAAATAATACCTAAATACTATAACTATAAAGGATACTATAAGCGTAATGCCACGGTGTAAATAGCAGAGCCAATCCTCTCGTGTACAGAGCAACCTTATTTACCGCCTTCAGGACACAGCCAGCAGAATGCATATAGACGAAGTCACCAGAAAGCCTAAATAGCAACAAATGAAACCGAAATATTCATATTTTGAATGCCACTTATAAGGATATACAACTAGAATATACACGCATCGCAATTGCATCTCGCATATTTACACCCTATATATATACAACTAAAGGATATACCATGTACCACATAGCTCGAACTATTTTTCAAACCCGCGCTAAGCCCGCACATCGGAAGCTTGAGGATAGGCTAGGTCCGCACGGCCAGGCTATATCTGTACCATATGTAATCCGTTCGTTCGCGTATCGTTCAAATTCATAATGTCAAAGTAGTGAAATCGTTGGGCAACCAGTTCGTTTCTATATCTATAAGTATATGTGCGTGTGAGTAGGGCTTAGGGCTTATCGACAGAGCTTGGCTTGGCTTGGTCCCCGATGTAATCTGATTTGCGCGCAGAGAGATCGAGGTCGGTTGGACGTAGATGTTGTTATTTATGGGGCTGGGGCTCCGGCCTTCGGGCAATTCCTCTTCAGAGGCATCTCGGGATCGCGTGGCCCCAAGCCCCACTGTTAGTTACGGTTAGTTACGGAGCGTGTATGTGTTATGTATGCTAGTTAGTTGAGTTAGTTAGATCTACCCTAGGCAGTCGACTCGATGTTTAGTTCCCTAGTTCCCTAGTTCCGTTCTCCGAATACGTAAGCAATAAAATTGCATGGCTTCGCCTGGGGTGTTTCCCCGCCGAGGAGCGTGCTTAGTCAATTATTGCAACCCAAGTTGTTTGTCCACATTCCATTCTGAGTAAGCGTGCGAAGGTGTTTTGTTAGCCGTTTAAGTGCGCCGATGCGGCAGCAGGTTTCCCCGAAAGCTATCCCGACCGATCTGTCCGACTGGCTTGGTTTTGCCCTGTTTAGTTGCCAGCGATGAGCCAGGATGCGAGTTAGCCTCTTAGAAACATATCAGTAAAGGGAATACGAACTCACTCACTCACACACTCACACACCCACACACCCACACAACCAACACTCCAACACACAGACACCCGCAGACAACACACTGTAAAGAATAAACACAACTTTTATTACGTGACGATAGTAAATGTCACATCGTCCGCTTTTCGAATTGATAAGAACACAAGCACTCACACAACACCCAACAAAACCAAACGAAACGACAGCAAAACACTATTCGATAACTAATGTTAAAGCCAAGAACTCGAAGTAATATAGTTAAACATTTTTAGAGATATGTGTACGTATTAACAAATGCTTGAGGCATCCAAAAATTTTGTAAGCAATTCATTTAGGGTTATCGACACGGTTTTTTGGTGAGCACCGGCCACATTCCGCCACTCCATAAATTAATTGTAACTTTTGTAAATATTTATTTCATATACAAGTCCCCGGAACAGTTTCGGTTCTCTTATTTTTCGAACTCATTTACGCCAGCAGCAATCGAATTGAACTTGAAATAACTAACGAGATATAAAGGTAACTGACGAACAGAGCAAATACACGACTTAAGTGCAACACGTGCAAACGCAAGATGTTATTAATACTTAAATTATTTACTTACGATACATACATTTTAATGTAGTCCGATGGCGACGACGATTGTAAATCAGCTAAATTGAATACCGGAAATCGTTGACAAGCATACAAATTTATTAAAGCGTATTTAAATCTATATGAGCGAAAGTCATGAAAATATATAAATCATTGAGTAACATTTACCCGTGAATCTTTATTGACGAGGTGGAAAGGGTGAAGTATAACTTATTATAATTTTTTTTTATAATGCTATAAAGGTAAGTGCAGATGAAAATCCTAGGGGTGACGGCGGTACTCGAAATACGCCTTATCGATTAGCTGTTTCTGAAAAATCAAATGTGATTAAAAAAGGATACATAATTTAGACATTCCTTAAGGGCTTTTGTGATACCTACATTTTCCTCGGACAAAGGCGGATCCAAATACGTATGCAGCTGAAGGGGATTTTGTCGACTCGGATCTCGAATCGTTTTAATCCTTTTGAAGAAGTCCGCTATAGAATTATGAGGCTGTTGGCCATGATTTATATAGTAGCAGTACAGGAACTCCAGCTTCTTACAACTCTGTATGATTTCTATGATTTCTGCTGGGGATATGTAGCTGAAGATACTCTCCACGTACAGGGATCGAAGTTCAGTCAAGTTGGTTAAGGGCTCCAAGCAGTTGGGCCCTCCAACGCTCAGCGAGAGTTTCGTCAGTGTTCCGATCTGCGATATCAATTCGTAATCGGATCGAAATTTAAGGCAGGCACCTCGGATCCAGAGTTCGTCTAACTTGGGAAAGCACTTCAGTATAGTTTCAACACAGCCGGAGCACTTGGCGAATCCAGACAATCGTAGTTCCCGCAGATCGGGAATAAGCCGGAAAAATTCCTTAAGGTAACATATGCAAGACGGCACGTTGATACTCAAATAGTCGCGACCTAAAAATTAAGTAATGTTGTAATGCTTTTTTAGTTCACATAATAATTCTTACTTTGAGAGGAAAACCGAAACAAATCCTCAAGCCTGGAAATTTCTAGCAGGCAATGTCGCAGATCGATTTTGTTTTTAGCTTTTGTGAGGACTCGAAAGTCCCTGACCGCGTTTCCCAGATCCTCCTTGTCGTAGTCGTGTCCTTGTACTACACCCAGTGTTCTCACGTTATTATTTACGATTTTGAAGAGCTTAATGGAAGCCGCTGAGTAATATAACACCGGTTTTTTTCCCTCGGGATCGTTTTCGTGGTACACTGGATAAACAGCTGGTTGCTTTTCACGCAGAATATCCCGAAACCTGGTAGAGGTTTCTGCTAGGGTTACGAGGTCCTTAACACTTAAATACTTGAAAATATTTAACAGACAGTCGTCATTTAAACTCAAAATTCTTAAGACAACCATTTCTTTGGTGGGATCCATCAAGGTTCACTGTAAGATTCGAACTGCAGAATGTCGCCCACAAGATGAGAGCTATAAATCGGAAGATTATTGATTAGTAGACATCCCATTTATCTCCGAACTATTTTAGATAAGACCCATTGTTTGTTATCTGAACTTATGGAACCTTGCTCTTATCTACGGCCTCTAATCCGATTAAAGACAATTCCGCAAAGAGCTCTTATCATAATTCTTCGCATATATTCTAAAGTCTGGCGAGATTACCTCGAAGTGCCTTTCTGACTATTGCCGATTTAAGCCTCGAAGAGTGGTTCAGGTATTCCACAGGTACCTTTCTAGATGTAACCTTTTTCCAAGATATAATTTTTTGAAGATTAAAATCTAAACTATATATTTACATTTTTCTGACTCTACCTAGCAAGTATTATATGTAGACATGTAAACATTTTCCGTTGCATGTCTAACCACCACTGCATGTGGAAATCCACCATGTGAAAAGTTCAAAGGTTTTCAGTGCCTGAACTTGGAACCTTTAAGTGGAAAGCTTTGGTGGAAAACCCCTCTTACCAAAGTTAGACCAAAAGCTTGCCCCGGTCTAAAAGTCAGTTAGGCTGTCCCAGGATAAAATGACGTCTCGACTTAAGTGGATCTAATTATTGGTCGCGCTAATTAACCACAGACATGTGGGGAATCCCTCACCCCGTGTTTTCAATTATTTAGTGAAACTTTTCCCACGTAATGGGGCGTGGTTTCCTGGCTCTGCTGCCGAGCCACCTAATTAGAGCCAGCCTCGAAAGCCACGCCCCCTGATGGCCCCTATAAATGCCCGATTAACACAATTAGTCGGCGATTAGGCGACATGTACTCATCGGAGGAAGCGGTCAAGCTGAGGCGGCGAAACTATCGCAGCGTCAAGGAGATGATCCGACTTTCCTACACGGTGGGCTTCAACTTGATGGACCCCTCGCGCTGCGGGCAGATGCTCAGAATGTGAGTATTTCGGGTGGCGAGGTGGCGAACTGACTGATCTTCTATATCTCCTCGCCAGCTGGACGATCGTCCTCAGCCTGAGCAGCTTGGCCTCGCTCTACGGCCACTGGCACATGTTCCTCAAGTACATCCAGGACATCCCGCGCATCGTGGAGGTGGGTCATCAAAAATTAGATCGGAATTCAGAAATTAATTGAACATAAATCATGACAATTAATTTTATTAAATCAGCAGCGCGCGAGCCCATTTTTAACAATTTATTCCACATTTATTCCCCATTAAAAAACAATTAGTTAATCTTAAATATTTATATCTATCAACTAAATTATAATATGTTTTCTCTTTCAGACCGTCAGCACCGCTTTTCAGTTCCTCACCTCAATAGCCAAAATGTGGTTTTTCCTTTTCGCCCATCGCCAGATTTACGATCTGTTTCGAAGGGCCCGTTGTCACGAGTTGCTGCAAAAGTGCGAGATATTCACAAGGATGTCAGGTGAGTTCCTTTCCGGTAGAATACTGACATTTAGGATTTTTTCCGACAGATCTGCCTGTGGCCAAGACTCTTCGCCAGCAGTTTGAGTCCACGATGGATCGCTATTGGGCCAGCACTCGTCGGCAACTTCTGACCTACTTGTACTGCTGCATTGGCATCACCTCGAACTACTTTATTAGCTCTTTTGTCACAAACATCTATCGCTACCTCACCCGACCCAAGGGATCCTACGACATAGTGCTGCGTAAGTAAGAATGATTACCTTATTATATTGTTTTCATTAACCAAATATCTACTTTCAGCGCTGCCTTCGCTTTATCCAGCCTGGGTGGATAAGGGATTGTCATTTCCCTACTATTATATACAGATGTACCTGGAAACCTGCTCTTTATATATCTGTGGCATGTGTACGTAACAAAAATCAGGCTTTAAGCAATTAAAACGTGATTATCTATTTGGATTTTAGGTGCTGTCAGCTTCGATGGAGTTTTTATTGTTCTGTGTCTTCACAGCGTTGGGCTTATGAAATCGCTTAATAAAATGGTGAGCTACTCCACATCGGAGTTGGTTCCACCAGATCGCAGGGTGGAGTATCTTCGGTGCTGCATCTACCAATATCAACGAGTGGCTGAGTAAGTTAATAAATTCAAGGTATCCTCTGGGATTAGATTAAATTAGTTTTATTTTCTAATTTTATTACTTTGTATTTGTGTTTTTATTATGTTATTAAATACTATTGTTTATATTTTATTAAATAACATTTTATTGTATTGAACATGTATCTTTTTATTATTTGGGAAAAACAAGGGTATATTTAAGTATTTCAGTGGCAAAAAGGAAATTTTGTATTCGGCAATCGATTGGCGTACTCATGATCAGCCAAGTCCACAATTTTTAGGCCAAACCAATTTTGAGGTACCAGGCGAACAGAATGCTATAGCAGGTGACCACATTAAAAATTTCGTGTTTTACTTGCCCCCAAAAGTATGCTATACTTTTTAATGCAAATTAAAAATTAGTTGTTCCCAAAAGTATGCTACACGTTTTTTATGCAAAATTGCACAGCCAAAAAATCGCCTACTAATGCGTTCTCGCCCGGTTATGCTCAGATGGTCCTGAACGATTCCGGCGAAAATAATAAATATCGAAAAAAAAAAAAAAAAAAAAAAATAATGCGTTCTGTTGGCCTGGTATTTTAAATCCTAAAATTCCAATTTGGCCCGTCGAAATCGTTCGGCCAAGACCAACATATTCAACCAAACTTCATTTTGAAGTACCAGGCGAACAGAATGCTATAGCAGGTGACCACGTTCTAAATTTCGCATTTTACTTGCCCCCAAAAGTATGCTTTACTTTTTAATGAAAATAGCCAAAAATACTGTTCCCAAAAGTATGCTACACGTTTTTATGCAAAATTGCACAGCCAAAAAATCACCTACTAATGCGTTCTGTTGGCCTGGTATTTTAAATCCTAAAATTCCAATTTCGCCCGTCGAAATCGTTCGGCCAAGACCAACATATTCAACCAAACCTCATTATGAAGTACCAGGCAAACAGAATGCCAGAGTAGGTTGCTACTCTTTTTTTTATATTTTCCAGTTGCCCCCAAAAGTATGCCCCAAAAATGAGAAAGAGCTACACCACTTTTTCTTTATGAGCCCCCAAAAGTATGCCACAATTTCCATAGTTTTATTTTTTCGTTCGGCCAAAACAAACATATTCAACCAAACCTCATTTTGAAGTACCAGGCGAACAGAATGTAAGAGTAGGTGGCTGCTCTATTTTTTTTTATTTTTCGATTGCCCCCAAAAGTATGCCCTAAAAATAAGCAAGAGCTACACCTTTTTGTGAGCCCCTCAAAAGTATGCTAAAATTTCTATAGTTTTATTTTATTTTGTTTCCAACTGCCCCCAAAAGTATGCCCCAAAAAATAAGCAAGACCTACACTTTTTGTGAGCCCCCAAAAGTATGCTACAATTAGTTTTATTTTATTTTGTTTCCAACTGCCTCCAAAAGTATGCCCCAAAAAATAAGCAAGACTACACCTTTTTTATGAACCCCCAAAAATATGCTACAATTTCTATAGTTTTAATTTATTTATTTTGTTTCCCTAGATTAATAAAAATAATGTACATAATTGTGACAATCCATGTTTTGTAAATCTTAGATGCCTAGTAATTTAAATAATGTTAAATTTAGAATCCAATGCTGTGACCCCGTTCGCTGCCTAGGCTGATGCCATGTGGATATTCCGCATGAGTCGGAAGACCAGTTCGCAGTAGGCCTTCTGTCTGTCCTTCGCCCCTTCCATGACCTAGAATAAGGTTACAAAACAAGAACACATCAGTAATTATTAATTTTTATTTCAATTTTTTGATACAGCTCCTTCTCAAATTTCCACAAAAAAGGGTTTGGTGAAAATTGGTGAAAAGTTCACTAATTCTAAGTCCATAAATTTATAATTTAAAACAGATATATCAGTAGATATACTTACATCCGAAAACCCATCCATCTCTGTTAACCCCCTTTAAAGCTTTGCAGCGGAGGTCAACGACTGCTACCGGCACATCACCTTCTCGCAGTTCCTGCTCAGCCTGTTCGGATGGGGCCTGAGCCTGTTCCAGATGAGCGTGGGGCTGGTAAGGCTCTCATACCTGGACTGCCGAGGTAAAAAGAAACTGATTCAATGGGGCCTTTGCAGGGCAGCAACAGCAGCATCACCACGATCCGGATGACCATGTCCCTCGCCGCATCCGGCTACCAGATAGTGGTCTACTGCTACAACGGGCAGCGGTTCACGACGGCGGTGGGTGGCTCCACGGGGTAACCCGGATCCCGCACTGATTGATGTCTAATTGCGTGACTAATCTCTCCGCAGAGCGAGCAGATTGGCCAGGCCTTCTACGAGGTGGACTGGTTCGGGGAGAGCCGGGAGTTCCGCCAGCTGGTCAGCATGATGCTGATGCGCACGAACCGGGGCTTCAGGCTGGACGTGTCCTGGTTCATGCAAATGTCCCTGCCCACGCTGATGGCGGTGAGTACGGGTCCCACAGCCCTCAAGCCCCTCCCACACGCCCATTCCACTTGATTGATTCGCAGATGGTCCGGACAAGTGGACAGTACTTCCTGCTCCTGCAGAACGTCAGTCAGAAGTAGGACTAAAAGCCGAATTAAATCGCGATGAAAACTACTGAACGCAGAAACTGCGAATTTTTCATCACCAAAATATCTCCTGTTTCTGACATATCAGAATGTGAGTGCAGAATATCGAAGCAATTAAATAAATGTGTGCGTACTGAAAAAAAATATTATGTTTTATTTTTTCCCACCTATTTTTATTCCAACACCAAAATGCCTTACCAACCATTGTTATTAAACATTTTTTCTGCGTGTGAGCACTAAAAATGTCTGGCTGAAACTGTTGACAGGATGCGGAGTCCGGTCAATCAATACAGCAGTGTCCGCTGTCCTGTCAGTCAGATTGCGCCGCCCATAAGTTCTGATGGTCGTGTGGCGCATTAAAATAATGAAATTGCCGGCAGATAAGGAGCATCGATGCCACTGCCATTGCCGTTTCTAATCAATTTTATTTATTTGACCGGGCATCCTTCGGAGCGAAACAGAGAGCTCGGCCGATTGTCTTTATGTGGACTGTGTGTATAAATATATAATATAATATTGCTACTTTAAATGCCTCGCTACTTTTCTGCCGACAAGTCGCGTCTTTAATTGTTAGTTTCGCCTTTATTCCCATCTCGGGGACCAGACTCTCAATAATTTTAATGCTCGCTTGCTGTTTGCGCTTCCTTTGTTTGCCTTTCTTTATTTTCTCTCCTACTTTTATCATCTCAGCCGCACTTTAGTGCCTGCGCAAAAAGGACATCTTTTCTTTTCTGTTTATTGAGGCACATGAATATTCTTTAGCTGCTTATATCCCGATCCCTCGCTATGTGAGTCCGCCTTTTCAGGCATTTATTTTTCGCATTATGTTTTATATTTGTCCAAGGACAACAATACTTTGTGCATTGCGGGATGGCTGTTATCCAGTTTGTGTTTCTCTCCTCTTTTCTAAGCCCATTACCGGGGAGTGAAATATTGGAACTCGACACTCGCCGAATAAAATGGTTCTGTTCACTGTGGAAGATAAAATTCATACGTTGTTTAAATACCAGGGATTATTTATGAACGTCTTAAAATATCTATCAAGGACCCAAACACTTTAATACACACTTATTCTATTTTTTTCAAGTGTATGTCTCATGCAACCTTAAATTAATTTGCGGCTCAGCTTCCTGGATGTTTATTTATTATTATTCCTAACACCTCTCACTCCTCTGCTAATTGTCCAATTAAACCGACAATAAAATAAGAGTTGTTGACTCACCGGCCACTGCTCATTAGGGACATCTGGACCTTTAATGTTTGCTCTTTTCTCCCTTTTATTTTCCCCTGCGAAAATAGATTCGTTCGCGTGGGAAAAGGGGGAAAGCCAACGCTGGAAGGAGAGCAGTCAAAGACTGGCATGATAAATGAGGTGCACTCGACTGCACACGTGGGAAAGCAGGACTCCCAGGACAGCTGCCCCCTCCCACATGCACTGTCTTAAATACCTCTTTTCGTAGCGCTGTGCACTTGTTTGTCTGGCACACAAGTTAGCGAGTTCGTGTGCGACTGCTCCACTTGTCAGTCTTTGGAATGGCGCCACGGGGCGTATGCGCAATGCAGCGTATATTAAGCACTTCTCGGGAAACGCATTGCCTCTAACGAGATTCTCGTTAAATGAAAACAAAATATTTCCATTAACACTTTGGAGTCCCTGCCTCTTGAGCTAATCAAGTCAAAAATACACAATGTTCAGTTAAATTATTCAAGTGCAGCCAACCAAGGAACAAATGAAGCCCGCCTTTAAATACTCTGATTACTTTTGCGCAGAAAATGGGTTCATTCAATTGCGGAATTTTAAAGTTCAGTGGAGTTGAACCCGTCGGGAAAATATGTCAGTAAACTAGTGTCGTTTCCATGTCATTGAGTTGGACAACAAGAAGCTACGAAGGGAAAATTCCTTTGCTCAACAGCCAGAAATATCCGAAAATAAATCAGTTATATTTACTTCCGCCAACGCCTGTCCACACACTCTGCATATGGATGTACGAATATTTCGGTGTTTGCCCACGTAGCTCGGAGTATCCTGCTCACATATTGACCAATGCGAAGAATGGCAAGCAATATTCCTGTTTTCTGTTTTCTGTTTACTGTTTACGGTTTGTCCCTCCGGAATTGTGAGTGCCCTGCTCTTCCTTTTTTACCATTTGTCCACAATTTGCTTACGCCCTGTGTGCGCTTTTCCCCATGGCACTTGATGCGTAATCAGTGGGACAAACAGAACTCATCTGCGACCATCTGCCGGACATTGCTGACAAATCCGATTGGGTGTCGCATTAGAAATGGCGAACGGCGAGTGCCACAACGCATCCCAAAGATGGGACCCTTCCCACGCGGCTGTGTTTCGGCTCTATTAGCTGGATTGTCTTGGCCATAATGGAGTTAATATGTATGTATATGTATGCAGGAGCTCTCTTTGATCCCACTCGACTCGGCAAGGACGAAAAAGGACGAAAGTGGGGCCAGCACGTGCTGGGGAAATCCATGTCGACTTTAGGTCTTCATTCGGCAGTGTCAGGAATATTAGTCAATTGTGTGCTTGCCCAGAAGTCCGCCATAAATGTTAACAGAATTCTTCGAAAACAAACGGGGGGCAGAAGAGTAAAACAAACTTTTAAACGACTCCTAAAAGGACAATGTGCCATTGAGTTAGAGGCAATAAAGTGGCTCAAGCTGAAAACTCAGCTTAAAGTTTATGAAAAATGATTCTTCATGATTTTTTTGAAGATTTAAACTAATCGGATATTATGTTGTTTCCATCTTTAAATTGTGGCTTATTCTTTTACCAAACGAATTCAAGGTTCCGAAAGGAAAACTGCATATCGAATTTTCCCCGGGTACAAAAAAGCGTTGCACAGGCAAAGGAAATGCCGAAAGCGTTCAAGATTTGAGCACACAAAAAAGCGAGCTGGGATGGTTGCCTCGACTTGAAAACCGAAACTTGGTTGGTGTTTCATGCAAATTGCAAGGAGACATTTTGAACGTTATTTGCCACGTGAAAAGTGTGAGGCGGTCCAGTTTCGAAGGCCTACAACCGGAAGTGTCCCTGGGCCGAGAAACAATGTCCTAGCACCGAGCCATTGTGGGCCCTGTTAACCTATGGACCACTTTTGTGTGAATGCATTACACTTAAAGGTACAAGGTGCTTGAAAAAGCTGACTTGAGTGTAAGTTTGGCACAAAAGTAATTATTTTGGGTTGGTAAAAATACATCTTTAGCACACAGTTCGCATTAACAATTTCTCACTTTAATAGTTTTAATCAATCATAACTCAAAAGTAGTTTCGTTAAGTGTAGACTGTGCAGCTACTTGTAAGTCTGTAGCCATTTGTGAATGCGGCCAAAAGAAGGAATGTGGAAAGTGTGGCTTAAAATTTTCCGGGGAGAAATTAAATTTGCTGCACTTTAAGCTGCAGGCGCCACTTCGGCGTTTTCCTTTTCCCTTGGCAGTTTTCTTCCATTTCCTTCTTTTTTTGACTCCTTCGCTTATTTCATTTTTTCTGTTGCTGGCGTTGTGCGAGTTTTCATGAAATTTCTTTTTTAATTTCGCTCAACTTAGTCATGCGAAATGGCACTTGATGCTCCTTGGCTATGTGTGTGCACGGGTATCCTTAAGTAAGTGTGCATGTGTACGTACACACACACTGTGTGTCTGTGTGCGTTCCACTCTGCACATCCGTTCGAGTTTCATGGGAATTAACGCTAAGCTGCAGAAGCCGCGCTACCATCTCCGCCATCTTTTCTTGGGCCCCCATCATCTGCAGCTCCATTTTTCCGACTTTTCCGACTACTCCGCCCTTCCTCGCACTTTTCCAGTGCAAATGAAGAGCGCGAACAGCAACTACAGCAGGACAAGGACGACGACGGCAGCAACAGTCAATTGTTATTTTAAACCCAGTGGCAACAAGAAGGTAATGCAAATGCCTTGGCCATCTCCATCTCCACTGCACACAGCACACACCAAAACTTGTTCCACTTTATGTGATCTGCCACGCCCCCTTGTTCAACTTTTGTTAAAGCCGAGGGAGGGCAGTTAAACAACAGTGACAAATAAATGCATACAAATCCAAAGAAACTTATGAGTTACACATAACATTTAATAAACAGTATTTATCCCTGATTGCTCAACAATATTTAAGCGTACTTAAAGGCTTAAATAAGTAATCCTCTCTTAAGGTCACGCTCAACTATTTTTGAAGCGAAAATAAGTGAGCAAAGCTCAACGCATTTCGATGCCAAAAAGCATTTTCGTGTTGACTGTTCAGAACGTTCCCTTCTAAGTTTGCGGTTTTTACTTTTCGACAACCGTCAATCAAATATTCCCTCAGCCTTCGGCTACCAATCTTTAATTTAATGGGCGGTTAGAACTCGTTGACAACAAACCGAGATCTCAACCAATCAAACCATTGTCTCCATGGTCGTTCGAGAGTACTAAACACGGATCTGATCGGCTATTTATCTGAGGAAATTATTGCACAGCATTCCGTTTTACCAGATTGATGGCTGTCCTTTGAGTAAGCCTGCATACACAACTCAGGCCCGGTTGAGTTGACAACTGCCGGGCGGAGCAATTTGCATTCCGAGCCCGGCCAAGAGGATCTGGCATTGCGACGTGTGCGAGGAGATGCCGGCCTGCAATCTCGGAGCCAATGCAAATGCAGTAAGCAAATGTAGAGCAAATGCAGGAGCGTCTGCCTCGACGGTAAATATGCAAATAAATGCATGGGACCGGCAAGTGCAATCACGTGCCCTCACAAAAAGGCGAAAGGACCCAGAGTCCTGCCATCCTTGGCATACATAATTCAGAGCCACAACCGTTTCGTGGTGTCCTTTTTTTGTTTGATTGCATTTCAATTTGCAGGGTCTTTCTTTTCGATTTCCCACCCACGCGGAAATTGAGTTGCGCTGGAGTGGAGCGAGAATAAAATAAAGGCTGTGTAAATGTTTATTTATATATTCCGATATTTACCACGACTCCTGCCTAGATTTAATTTA